GATAATAGCGCGTTGTGACAAACACCAGATACAGCACTGGGACTTGATCAACAGCCGATACCGCACCGTGACAATGTCACTAACCAGTAGGTGGCAGTAGTGTTCTTTTTCAAACATGGATGCCTCCAGTAAAGCACAATCAGATGAAAATTACTCTGAATTAAAAAAACTTAGAAACAGAATGTAGTAATTTCATATTTAAAGTTCTTTCAGAAGTTTGAATTCTGAAAATGATCGGACTTTTCCTTAAATACCAACACCGTCAATCAGAGCCTTTTAAAAGAACTCCCACCGCACAGAGGAGGGGTAGATCTGGAACTGGCATGAAGAGACATTGTTCCTATTATCCATCTGTGGAACTGGACTATCTTAAATGCTAATAAACCACCAATCATCTATCAGCAAGGCAGCAGGACCCGCCCCTCCCCTCCCAGAAAACAGCACTGGCAGAGCTTATTGAAGTAATGCTATTTTTTGCCTCACAGGAAAAATCTTCCCTTTTATAAGCATATTGGTAAGAAATACAGCTGCAGAACTGGAATTAGTTATATTTCAATCAAATAACCAACTTACTGTATTGTTTTAACTTTTCGCTTCCAATAAAATTATCTAAGTAGTATTACTGAAACATATCATTGCCAGAATGGAGGGTTTATCATTGGTAGAGGTGGCAGTAATTCACTACCTGTGGGACCAGCAGTTCCCCTCTAAACCAGAAGGTGGCAGCAGTGATTCCATCATGAAGGGTGTTCTATTATGACATTTATAAAGTAATCTATTTACCAAAAACTGACTAAAATACAGTGAGAAATTCTTCATAACAATATAGCAAGTAAATAAACTTTATTATAAAGCAACCTTATAACAGTAAACTATAGGTTTGCAGTGTTCCAATCTAAATTTGATACAAAATAAAAATAAGTCACCATTAAACCTAAAGCTTTATAAATATCAACATAAATAGACCTAAAGTTTCTAGACTTGTTCCAGAATGTAGAAAAGCTGAGGTATGTTTTTGGAGATATATGGTGTGCAATAATACAAGAAAACACCTTTATTTATTTATTTATTTGATAGGACAATGGACATTCATTAACATGTTAGTTTCAGTGATCAACGTAACTCTGGAATTAACACAACAGCTCATTTGCAACCGCTGTGGAAGCAGCTAAAAACATTAAACAAGACACACAAACAGCGAAGGAGCCAAAGACATAAAATCACTATATTAGAGGAACAGGCCAAAGGAAACAGTTCACCTGTGAACATGTCTGGTTAGTTTTTATGTGGGCTGGCAGCATTTCCATGCTTTTCATTTCCTCCGTTTGGCCAAAGTTGGTCCTAAACTGCTGAACATTACCGTCTCCTCCGGTTAAAGATCTGCTGTTTATTCTATTCATGCTTCTCTAAGCTTGTTAAATCAGCTGGGGAGGAGGATCAAGTCTGTTTAAAACTGTAAAAACAAAACATCCATAAACATCCGACGATGATCAAAGCCTAAAGTGCAGAATAAAACCTTGGAGCCAAAATAGCTATAAATTACAAATTATCCTGAAATAATTTGGTTGTGCTATTTCTGCTATATAATAAAGACAAAGATCAACTGCTAAACCTATTTAATGTATCTATCATGTAGAACGATAAATGTACCGGTATTTAAACAGAATCAGTGTATGATTATGTTTAAAAGCTTTATCACTAAAGGCCTCATGAAAATCTGATTATTCTTCAGTGATTCAGCAAATCTAGATGTTTGTTTCATCCATTTTCCAGTTAGTTTACTGTGATCAGAACAGATCTTTAGGAAAATGTTTTCTGGCACCTATCCGTCTATTCGCTGGTTCAGGAATGGTCCTGGCTATGACTGAAGACAGAAGTAGGTCCATAGAAACACAGCTAATTCTGGAGCAAGTGTTGCTGCTTTTAGTTACTATCAGGCTTCTCATGAAACACTGACATGTTAAAATGAGATGTTTTTATCATAAAAGATTTGTTGTAAAAATTATATTTTATCATTTGGAGTTCAAGTGAAAATACAGTAGCAAATATATACAGTCTGTAAATATTTGTTAAAAGTTTTCCAATATCAGACACATTTGTTTACTGATAAAATCCTTTTCAAACTATTAAACCAAATGATGGATCAGTTATTTAATATTAAAGTAGCCTTTTTTACAAAATAGTTCTTTTGAGCTAGATACATTTTTCTATATATATTTATTTTTTGAAACACTCAATACAGACATATGTCCTCAGCTATCT